AGGCACTCAGGAGGAATCAGACTGAGGGGCCAGCACTGCACAGGGCCAGCACAGCCAAGCAGAAGACCTGCATATTCTCCTAAGAGGCCCCTTTCTTGTGTCTGTTTCAAGTGCTGTTGGAGGCACTGTGCTCCCTGTAAGCTGAAACCAGAGAGTAGAGAACAGTGCGCTGAAGATGCACACGGCCCAGGAGAGAGCCAGGTAGGAAGTTTAGATGGCTGTGTGCCATGGGAAGCTGTGTTCATATCACAGGCTGAAACTAGGAACAAAGGGTTCCTGTGTCTGCAGATGAAGACTGGGGAGGAGGGGGCATGCCACACCCTTCTTGGATTACCTGGACCCTGAGGACTGAGAAAGGATTCTGGGAGGCAGGTCTGACAGACTCATGATCCTCCTGACTCTCCCTTGCAGGTAGGTTCATGATGGCTGGTGGTGCCACAATTGTGCCAGTAAAGTGAAGCACTCTGTGGGACCAGAAGTCCTTTAAACAAGGATCCATGGAGTGCTGTGGTCATTAGGAAAACAGGCCTCAGAGGACTTTCCACGCACAGAGAGATCATCAGTCCAGCTACCTGTCTCCAGGTATACCTATGAGTCATTAGAAGAGACAGCGGCACTGGAAACAGAGGAGGACTCCAGAAGCCTGCCCAGTTTGTATGTGTTCAAGATGAATATTGCTGACCAGATAGATAGATAGATAGACAGATGAAAGAAAAATGCCTGCCCAGTTTGTATGTGTTCAAGATGAATATTGCTGACCAGGTTGGAGCCAAAAACAGAGGGACGAGTTTACATGCAGTGTACACCTTGTGCTCATTTGGCAAGGTAGAGTGTATGGGAACAGGTGAGTCCATTATTTATGGTGCAGCTCTCAGCACCATCCTGGCCTACTAGACAGCTTGCTTCCTGTTCCCACCAGATCCAGACACCTTCACAACTCACCCCAGCACTATTACTGGTGAACCTGCTTGTTGCTTTGCAACCTGAGTCATATGGATGCACTCTTCTGTACTCTGTATCTGGACAGACAGACAGACAGACAGATAGACACACACACACACACACACACACACACACACACACACACACACTCCTTCCAATGTACCTCATACACAGTTGACACTAGTGAAGTTTGCTTGAACGGGAGAGGATTCCCATACAAGCAAGGTAATTTCATATTCCATGTGATTTCCCTCCTGGAAATGCCTCAAATTCCTCTAACTCAGCTTGTTCCTGTCTCTACCCCCAATGCAATCACTTACCACCCTGCTCTACTGCTTCGCAGGAGCCATGTGAAGCCAGCACATGCCATGGTGCACATTTTGCCCCAGGGCATCCGTTCCTGTGCAAGGTAAGGCCCACCAGCTGTGCTTTGAGTGGATGCAAGGTGAAGTCTGGAGTGTCTGACAGTTGGATTCAGAGATTGAGCTGGTTCCAAGCATGATCATGGATAGAATCTGTAGATGGAAAAACAATGGCAACCCCCAGCCTGACAGTGAGGGTGTTCCTCTGGGTGGTTCATGGTCTCCTGCCATATTCCTACCTCCTAAGATAACTCAGAGACACTTAAAGGGATTTAAGGGGTCAGATTCACAACCGTCCTTAGTCCCACACTGTAGTACACCCCAAAACCACACCTTAGTACACCCCAAGATACTATTTTCAACACTATCTCACACAAAGATCCCAGCTGTTTTCTTTCTGACATCCTGTAGGGACATTGCTGTTGCTGAGGCTTTGTGTCCCCAGGCAACAGGCTGGGAAAGATCTTTGCTGCCTGTGTGTCCCTATGCTGGGGCTACCAAGGAGACTCCTGGGACTACACTCAGCAAGGGACATTTTCAACTGGATGTTGCTTAGAGCAGGAGATGCCACTCAAGCCCTAACACACTGGATGGAAGGGGGACACACAGGTGACACTCCTCTGCTCAGGCCATGGGGAAGTTATGATTGGTTACAGGGTGATGGACAACTGAGCATTTAGTAATCTTACCAAAATGCCGTGTTTTCAGGTCTCCTTGATGGAAGAGTCTTCTTCTGATTGACAGAGAATTTGGGCCAGAAACTTACAAGCAGATGGACTAAGAGCAACAAGAGAAAATGTCTGCTGATCCAGGTAGCACCCAGGCCCTTGTACTAACTACTTGTTTTGGTGGAACAGTGTCTGAGGCAACTTGGAGACTTACCTCACTGAGGGTAATGCCTCTCTGTCCTGGCAGGAGCCATGTGAGAGTGAGGTGCTGCTCAATCCCCTCCATCTTCTGTATGGAGTCATCTCCTGTTACTGTTCCTTGATCACCTAGGCAGGGACACCACTTCTTCATCAGAAATACTGCCAGCTGCAAGGGACAGACTTAGAGAACACTGACAGTAATTTGAGGGCTTTTTATAGTGGGGCCCCTTTTAGAGAGTGACATCAACCAATACCTAGAGAACTGAACCATAAAGACAGTCTCTAAGGAATGGTCCTAGACAGTGAGAGCTGAGTGACTGATGACTTTATGCATTGTGTATCCAGGTGAAGATCAGCCATTGAAGATATGCTCAGAGAGCTTGGCATAAGATTGTTCTGCAAAGGTGTTACCAAGAAAGACAGGCATCAGACAAAAAGATATATGGCACAAATATCTGAATAAAGAGACCATTTTCTTGCTACAATAAATTCCTTTGTATATTTGAAGCACATGCTTGGATGTCCTGATTTATATCTATATGAATATTTTGATGATAGAATTGGTCAGCATATCTGTCTTCTGAATGTACCATTTCTCCCTGTGGTGAGAACAGCACTAATTCTCCCTGATGCACTTTGGTCTTCATTCTGTGCTCTAGATCTCTGCCCTCTTCCTCCTACATACTGCCTAGTCTGCAACCTAGAAACATCTCTCTATCCTGATATTATCACTAATGGAGAATTTTGCTTTAGGCTCCACATATGAAGCATTTCTCTCTTTTAAGGTTAATTTTTCATACCATAATGCCCTTCAGGTTGGCTCAAGTTGACCACAAGTCTCAGTATCACTCTCCCTTTCTTTTTCTGAGACAGGGTCTTGCTATGTAGCCTAGGTTGACTTACAATTCCTGATACTCCTGTTCAGATTCCTGGATACTGGGGTGACAGGTTTGTACCTCCTGAATTATAAGGCCTAACTACATTCTTCTTCAACAGACATGTGGATGTAGGGTAGATACATTGTTAAAGGATTAGGTTTTGATTCATTTTGAAATACTTCCATTTTTCTCTGCAGTTGTCCTAGCTCAACATCATCAAAAAGATCCTTACAACTGGGTGTGGAAATGCTCACAAGAGCCCTGACTCCTAATCACAAGGCAGTGCCTTTGTGTAGCCTGTAACCTAGTTCCCTCCTCAACTTGTATTTCTGCCCTGTCATTCACATCCTCTTAAGGGGACAGAGTTTCCTTCAAGGGACAAGGGATGATCTGTACTGTCATGTGAACTAGAGACTGAGAGGCTTCCAAAATGACAGAAGTCCTGACCCCTACAACCAATCTACTGTTGGAAGAAACTAAAAGAGCAGCGCACATCTCTTCCTGTGGAATCACAGCCAGCAATGGGCCATCTAGCAGGTCTGGTTTTGGTTTTGTAAGGGGTCCTGTACTGTGCTGTATCAGTTCACCCCTTGATGCATGCTGGTTAACTCCATAGCCTGGTTGTCAGGAATAGGTCTCAGATACATGGGGCAGTGCAGAGGTCTCTTTGGCATCCTGACCTCCTTTCCTTTGTTATGTCCAGAATGTTGGGATGACTGGATCACAGGGCAGACATGGTTTCACATTTTGAGAAATCTCCAAACTGTGTCTCATGATGATTGTATCAATGTGTGCTCTGCCAACAATGTCCAAGTGTGTGTAATTCACACATAGGCAAATATATTTTTTTGTCTTTTGATAATATCCAGACTAGTTCATATGGTGACATTTATGACAACTCATTTATCAATGGTTGGCCATACTTCCTGGATGAATGGAGTTTAATTCACAAAGTTCTAACCCATGTCTCTACCTTGGTGAGTTTCCTCTACTTTTCTAATAGAAATTTCAGTGTAATCGGGTATTACATGAAGACAGTTGGTCCATTTTGAGTTGATTTTTATGCAGGCTGAGAGATAAAGATCTAGTTCACTCTTCCATATTAAATGCCCAGTTGTTTCTAGCACCATTTGAGGTCTATATAGAAAGTTGCAGACCGGTCTGTGCTAAATAGGGAGACTATATCTATAAATAGATAGATGATGATAGATAGATAGATAGATAGATAGATAGATAGATAGATAGATAGATAGATAGATAGATAGATAGATAG